GGGACAACAACTGGTTTATTGTGTAGGAACTTATACCTACCCTCACAACAATATTATATTACAACATCTTCCCCATAAAATAAAAAAGGTTAACTAATTAAACATTTTTAGACATGACATGCAAGTTTGATAATGGTTAAGGTTATACAAACAGTTATTCAAAAACAAATTTATATATTGTAACATAGAACAGAAAAATACATATATTTTAGCTTAAGTTAATTTGTTAGCAATGCGTTGCCGAGCAACCTCTTTAGCTTTGCGAGCTGGTGGTGCGGGCAAGGATGCAGGATTCATAAAAGAGTCAATAGGACCTTTGTCAGATTGTGATTTGCCTCCATTATCTTTCAAATCAGCATCCTCACACGCATCACTGAATTGGTCATGAACACATCCCTCATTACAACTCTCCTGATAATCATTTTTATCAGGTTCACATTTGATTAGGTGGCGCCTATTGCGCCTGTATCTTGCCCCGATCTTATTTTGTATAATATATGAACGAGGAGTGTTTGCATGGCCGACCACAGTGGCCCTACTTCTCCTTTTGCCATCTACAAAAATCACCGAATCAGCCTTCCTTAAATTAGGCAATATTTTACAGTTTTTATCATAATGAAACTTGGACTTATTCTGTTTATCAAGCATTGTTTGATATTCTACTGGGTCGACAGGTCTAGGTTTTAAAAGTGTAGGATGAACTGGCAATTGGCATCGCAGTCTGCGACCCATGAGTAACTGAGCAGGAGAACTCAAACCGTCTCTCGGCGTATTTCGAAAATTAAGAAGAGCCAAGTTAAAGTCTCCTTTGCCTCTAATTGACTTAATTAACAATGATTTAATTGTTTGTACTGCTCTTTCGCTTTTCCCATTTGCCTGAGCATAATTAGGTGATGATGTCACGTGATCAAACCCCCATTGCTCTGCAAAACGCTTGAACTCGCGACTACTATATTGTGGTCCATTGTCGCTTATCAGAGTATTTGGGACACCATGTCGAGAAAACACCTCCTTCATACTTTCGATGACTATATTAGATGAAATAGAATTCAATTTGCAGACTTCAGTATAATTAGAATAATAATCTACGATAATCAAAAAATATTTATTCTTATATTCAAAAATATCTGAGCCCACTTTATTCCACGGTAAGTTAGGAATTTCTGTAGGTATCATAGGTTTCCTGACAGACTTTACAACGTTTAACATAAAGTTCTATGTCACGAGATATGTGTGGCCAAAACATCACCTGTCTTGCTCGGCGCTTGCACCGGTCTATACCTAGGTGGCCTTCATGAACAATACTTAACATTTGCTCACGTAAGATTTTTGGTATAATAACTAAATCATTCCGGAATACAACATTGTCCACAATAAACAACTCATCCTTGAAAGACCAGTAATCCCTAACCGCATTATTTGCCTCATACTTATTAGTAGGCCACCCTGAGTTTATATAATTTGAAAGTGCGCTTAACTCTAAATCTCGTTTGGTTTCCTTTTTTACTAAAGTTAATTTATTGTTTGACATAGGCACATTATTGACCACCATTTGTACCTGATAAAGGACATTTTTGCTCACTTCTTCACCGTAGAGATCGCGCAGTGGCGCACGACTCAACATGTCTGGTATTTTTAGGTACTTGCCTGGAACATAATTAACTACCAAGTCATAGCCTTGTATTCTCAACATCATGCGCTGTAACCGTGCTGGAACGGACATGAGTGGTTTTTTAAATATGCTTTCTAAAGGCTTATGGTCAGAATCTACAACGACACCCCGTTGGCCATAAATATATTGATGAAATCGTTCACACCCAAACACTATGGCCAACAGTTCTTTTTCGATTTGAACGTACCTTCTTTGCGCCTCAGTGAGGGTGCGAGAGGCGAATTCTACAGGTCGACCGTCCTGCAACAATACAGCGCCTACTGCGAACGCCGACGCATCTACCGCGAGGCGCACGGGTCGAGACGGGTTATACAGTGCCAGCACTCCGGCACCCGTCACACATTCCTTTAACCTATCAAATGCCGCACTCTCACCCTCTTCCCAGCGCCACTCATTATCTTTCTTCAGTAATCTAGTTAGAGGAATAGCTATTTCAGAATAATTTGGAATAAATTTGGATAAATAATTTACCGCTCCTAAAAACCTTTCTAAGTCTTTTTTACCAGAAGGAATGGACATCTCTTTGATCGCTTTTACTTTCTCATAATCCGGTCTCATACCGTTTTTATCAAACACATGCCCTAAATACGTCACTTCCTCAACACAAAATTTGCATTTTTCTCTGTTAAATTTTAAGTTGATTTCCCTCGACCTTTCAAGTAAGCACTTTAGTCTCTGATCATGTATTTTTTTTGAAGATCCCCATACTATTATGTCATCAATATAATTCTCTACCCCTTCCAGGTCTTCCAGAAGTTGTCGAACTTTCCCGTGAAAAACCTCAGACGCGCAATTCACGCCAAACGGAAGTCTTAAAAATTGATACCTACCGAATGGAGCGGAGAAAGTACACAAATCTGCACTCTCCTCATCCAGCTGTATTGTCCAAAACCCAGCGTTGGCGTCTAACACCGAGAAGTAGCGGGCACCGTGCAGGCGTGCCGCCAATTCCGCTAGAGTAGGCAGTTGAAAGTGAGCGCGCTGTACCGCGCGGTTTAACTCCCGTGGATCTAAACACACGCGAATGTCATCGTTCTTTTTTGCTACTAATACTAACGGATGCACCCAACGAGTAGGGTGACTGACCTTCCTGATAACCCCTTTCTGTTCCATGTTTTGTAATTCAATTTTTAGCCGATCGCGTAACCCGTGTGGCACTTTCCTCGGTGCACAAATGACTGGTGGAACCGATTTGTCTACAACTATATGATACTTGCCAGGTAGACACCCTAAGCCTTTAAATAAATCATTGTAATCAGACATCTGAATCGATCTAAGACGTTTGACGAGACCCATCATTTCACACGATTCGCGCCCCAATACACTGCTACAACACATGTCGGCTATGACAAATTTTAAATCATAAACCTTATCTCTAAAATACCATGGCAAAACACAGACTCCCTTAGTGGGTATCACGTTGTGAGTGTACGATAATAAAGGAATGTCTTTCTTTATTATCATATCCTCGCTGAACCCTAACTCCAAAAATCTTTAAAAGCTAGCACATTACAATCAGCTCCAGTATCTAACTTAAATTTTTCTTGTCCACTTGTGCAGCATAAAACTTGAAACCAATCTTCCGAATTATTTATCTTAGAATCGATTATTGATACGTAGAAGGCTCCGCCCGTGTCCGCATCACTATCATATTCGTCGTTATGATCACACTCGACCTCATATACACGCTGGACTCTGTCACGAGCCCCACTTTTAAAAGATTGAATAGACTCACACATGCGCGCGAAGTGTCCTCTGTTACCGCATACATAACAGCTGACCAGTTGCGCTGGGCAACGATCCACGCACAGCGCGCGCCCGCAGCCCCTACAGGGCGGCGCGCGCGCCCTCGGCAACTCGCGATATGCGCTACGAGCGCCAGTGCCGGCGCCACCTCGCGCGGCTGCGTTGTGACCTCGCGCGCCGCTGCCAGTCCCGATCACATGCGACCGCGAGAAAGCTATCCCGCGGCGGCGACTCACTCCTACACTGTCGACACACGAAACACCCTCACAATTACTGGCTCCGTGACCACCTATTTGCCGTCCGCTTTCTTGTGAAACTTCCTCGGCTTGACAAATTTTTATCGCCTTATCGAGTGTGAGTTTCTCAGTACGTAACAGCCGGTCCTTGACCGTGGCCTGTCGTACCCCACAAACAATTCGATCCCTAATCAAGCTGTCTTCTAAAGTTGCAAACTCGCACTTTTTGCTAAAAAGACGCAATGCAATCACGTACTGTTGAATCGATTCCCCTTCCTGTTGGTTGCGGGTAAAAAACTTGTATCTAGTTAGGGTTACATTTGTTTCTGTTCCGAAATACTCATCAAACTTTTTTAACAATACGTTGACGTCATCGCGCTCCTTGTCACTCGCGAACGTGAATGTTTGATAAATGTCGAAGCCATCTGACCCTATTAGGTTTACTAACAAACTAGCTTGAACACTGGCAGCTTCTTTGTCTACGCCTGAAGCCTTCACAAATAACTGGAATTGTTGCCTCCACTTTATCCAAGCCTCTGCACGGCTGGCCGGCCCCCCGGCGCCGTCCATATTTAAATCCGAAGGCGGTCGAGCGTGTTCCATTGTAATCACCTGTTTATAACACTTAATACGCACGAAAACTTGATCACAACCACCAACGATCACTTTTCTCACTTGAAATTACTTGTTTAACAACTTTTTCGCTATATTTATGCCAAATAATAGTAAACCGCTGTCACCATGTTATGTTTATAATGAAACGACCGAGTGCGGGACAACAACTGGTTTATTGTGTAGGAACTTATACCTACCCTCACAACAATATTATATTACAACAGTGTGGAAGGCCAGGGAAGTTTCTAAGGAGAGGTTCATGTCAAACAGTGGACTGTTAAAGGCATCGAAACCATCAAGAAAATGTGAAGAGGATTTCAAAAATTATATACCTACGTAAACTTAATGGGAATAATAAATTGGTTTTATAAAAATTTGACAGCTTTAAAATAGGGCATGTTTGTGTCGGACTTTTCGACGTCATGCTACAAATTAATAAAACAATTCAGTTTAGGTCTGCAATTGGATCACTATAAGAGATCATGGTAGGCCTGCTGGTGCTGTTAGTAGCATTACTTTAAAAAAAAGTCTGCAAAAAGTAGACGTTTTTTTAAATTATTTCTTGTTGAACTAATATGGCGTAAGGAAGCATGTCATGTTTGAAATAGTTAATATTTGTATTCTCTATAAGATTAAATTAAAAGCTTCTACACAAAGCAGAAATATTTTTTTATTAAAATAAGAAAAACGATTTAAGCATGCTTTCTGTTTCTTTCGACATTGACTGCTGTTTAATTTTGTTGTATTTCAGAGACCTCAACATCATAAGTACCATGAAACAGCATATTCATAACTACTTTTAAATGAGGCTTTACTGTCTGTGTGTCCATAAATATGGTAGAAGAAGTTGAACCGTTATAAGATGAAGATGATGAATTACTCGAAGGACCAAGTGGTCCAGCTGTTGGATTTTGAATTGCTGTAGTGTTCCAATATGGTTCTGTAGTCGATGGTGATGTTGTACTGTTGAATTTGGATTCTGTAATATTTTTGCTTGAGGTGGCAGAACTGTCCCAAGATCTTGAGATATTGGTAGTTGAGGTTGGCCACGATCTCTCAGACGAATTCGTTGATATACTCGAGGCTGTGGAAGAGAATTAATTAGGAAAGTAAGTTGGTTTATTTGTCTCTTACGCTTTCATATCTTAACTTCTTAACCGATCCGGATTGAATTTTGCGTCAACGTAGCGTAACGTATTAGGGGTAGAAATAAGGACATGGGGTACTATAGTTTTTCATTTCATCAAAAATAATAATGAATCCAGAAAAACCTCCAGCAATGAAAAACATTTTTAAAAAAGCATACGAAAAAATTTGGACATTATAAAACCCTGGGTATGGTATTCAGTGGTGACACTCCGCATTCTTAATCCATCACCACACGGATACCTCCGTACCCGTGTCGTGATGGATTAAGAATGCGGAGTGCGGATAGGAATGGATGCGGAATGCGGATAGAGGCGTTTTAAACTATAATATTAATCCCACTAACTTAATACAGGATACGCCTATTACTGTCCGGCATTTTAGGAATCAGATGGAGAAATTAGGAGAATGTTGAAAGAAAAGGTACGTAACAATACGGACTACACAATTCAGTCACCTAGTGGTCAGTTAGGAATATTTGTTCTCAACCAATCACCTAGACGTCTGAATCAATACAAATACCAGCCGCAACTTTCCACCATTGTTTCACAATTTTCATAATCATCACCTGGATAGTTGGCGCTCCACTACTGTGCGCTTTTCGAGACACTTTATGCCCCGCACAACCAATCTGTGGAACGGGTTATTATCTGCGGTATTTACAGACCGATACGACCTTCAAACCTTCAACAAAAGAGCGTACTCCTTCCTAAAAGGCCTGCAACGCGTTTGTGACTCCTGAGTTGCAGACGTTCATAAGCGGCGATGGTCACTTTCCATCAGGTGACCCGTCTGCTCGTCTGCCCCCTCTGACATAAAAAAAGCAATTGTTTATTAAAGTATCCCTAACCATCCCCCTATCTAGTTGTCCGAGAGCTTGTTCTTATCTATTACCCAGATGTATACCTATTTGTAGTAAGTTATTGTAATTGCGTTAATTCTCTTTATACATGCATTTTGTAAGACCGCAAATTTAACAATTTGCCTTCGTCGTAAACAAAAAATCAAGCTGTCTTTCCACTCCGACCAACTGTACCGAGGAGGTCGGTCAGATCAAACTCAAAGAGCCCTTGTTACTTTTAAGTTGCAGGTGTCCATGTGCGGCGGTATGACCCGTCTGCTAAACAATACTAAGTCTAATGCTACAATTCAGCTTACCTTCCCTTCTTACGCGGAAAGTTTGATTATAATATCCGTACGTGTAACCTTCAGCAATTGGTGTACACTTAAAATTTAATAACCTTCCTTTCACTTCCATTCCTTCTGTTATTTTATAATTCGATTTATTGCTGTCATAAACAGTTTCAAGAATTGGTGAGGCTACTGTTCCGCAGTTGAGGCATACTGGATCCGCAGCTTTAGTTGGTGCAGGAGTTGTTGTTGTTGTTGTCGTCGTGGTGGTTGTTGTTGTTGTTGTTGTAGTCGTAGTGGTTTGTACCTCATCCTCAACAGCAACTAGTACTTCCAAATTATAAGCATCGTTCACATTATTATACGTGTTTGTTAGTGAGAATTTCCGTGTGAAAGCTAGTACTGTACAATTTATGTACCAAATGACAACATATGGATGATTTTGAGTTATAAATTGTAGTTCTCTTTCCGGTATTTCGAGGGTATGGTTCACGAGTTTATTGGCGATTAAAACGCCATCTGTCTTGTCGATTCCGTCCTGAGACAGCCTTAGTTTGCCATTTAATAAATCTGGAAATTTAAATAAAATATTTAGATGTTTTATCGACATTTTTTTTCTTACATATTTAGGATAAAAAATCTTGTTGTTTTTAATCTTTTTAAAACCATTTTTCCAGAACTTTTTCAAATTTTTAGTTACGTACTCTCGTTTGCTAAGTTCATATTTTGTTCAGTAAAACTAAGACTCAATTTTCTTACTTCAGAGGATCAACATTAGAACTTTTAACATTATGTGTAATTGTGTAGATCACAACGTAATCTATATTTTATTTACGTATTGAAATATTTTACTAGTTAAACAGCGAGTCACATAATTAAAAGAAAAAAGTACAATGATAAAACTGCTCGATTTGAAACTTGACTTAAGTTGTTAACCTTAACCCTTAACCTTTTTTTCAGGCAAGTTTTTTTGTTAGCGTCTATCTAAATTTACCAAACAACAGTATAATTAACACGTCCGTCACCATACGGACCACAAACACACAAAACACACTTATTAATTTCTAAATACATACATATTATAGATAAATTACACCCAGTTACAAAACTAATGATTGTGCTCATCACACAATTACTTGTTCCATGGGGGAGAGTCCAACCCACGACTTATGGTCACTAACCACTATACAAACAGGCCCTTGTAAGTGTGAAAGTGAGTTTGTTTGTTACACTTTCCCTCCTAAACCACTAAACTTATTTTGAAAATTCTTTCACCCATGGAAAGCTACACTATCAGCGAGTAACACATGCTATAAAAAAAAACATACTTTTTACCGCTTTAATCGATACACACGAGGGCGGAGCCGCGCGCAAAAACTAGTCAAACTCAAACATCTTTATTCCATAAAAAAATTAAAATGATTTGAAATCGTATCTTGTGTAGACTCTTAAGTCATAGATCAACACACACAATAGCAATAATATCTGTCTTGTCAAATATTTAGCAAACTAAATAATAATCGACGGGCCTGTTGGTCTAGTGATTAGTGAACCTGACTGCTACGCCAGAGGTCGTGGGTTCGATTCCCACCCAGGACAAGTAATTGTGTGATGAGCACGGTCATTTGTTCTGTGTTTGGGTGTACTTTATCTATAATATGTATGTATTTAGAAATATATAAGTATGTTTATCAGCAGTCTGATTATCATAGCACAGGCTTTGCCTAGTTTGGTATCAGACGGCCGTGTGTGAGATGTGTGAAAATATTAAATATTATATACGTATCGAAAATCTAACCGGGCGATTGTAAATCGGCACAGGCATATAATAGTATTATATATTTCTAAATCTATGAAATATTTAGGTAATAAAAATGATTATACCTGTTAAAATGACAGTGCAGCGATCTACACCATAATGCAAATTGTAAATCCCCACTGGGCTTCTTCTCCTGACCGTTACTCCAAAAATGTATTGACCTGCTTTAACTTCGTCCTTGTTAAACGCTACTGTGAAATTCACTTGTTTCTCTGTAGTAAATATCTGAAAAAATAAATAAACAGATTTGGTAATATATACCAATAAATAAAATTGAAGTGTCTGTTTGTAATGTCAAAATACTAGGTTTTTTTTTTCATGGTCACACATTTATTTGCACGATACCTATGCTTAAAATCCAGTTTCAGTATTTTTTTTTGTGTCTGTCTGTTTGTACCGGGTAATCTTCCAAACAGCCAGACCGATTTTGATAATATTTTACTACCAGGTAGCTGTCTATATAATAATTAACTAAGGCTCTTATTCCTCATCGAAGCCAAGGCCTCAAGGACTACACCGCTAAGACAGCGCTTTACAAATTAAACGCGAACGAATTCAAGACCAGCTAGTCCATACTAATATTATAAAGGGGTAAATAATCTCCGGTACTACTGATACGATTTTGAAAATTATTCTGTTAAATCCGTGTGGAGACGGATTAAGGAGACGGAATGTCACCACCCCTATTCATCCCTTGGGTGTCGTAACAGCCGACTAAGGGAGCAAACTACGCAGGACAACAAGCACTGCAACGCGCCTAGGCCCGTATTTTTTGAGGTGTCTCAGTCGTGAATCTAATATTAAAACTAATTTTAAGTAGAGATGCTGTTATTGAACTTCACTTAAAACGAGATTCACCGATCCATACTCAAGTGAGTGAAAGCTTATTTTAGAACGATGTTTATGTCGAAATCTTTACTCAAGTATAGATTTTGACAGATGTGATCTTTGTTTACGTCAGACAAGCTGAAACTAGTCTCAAGCAGTCATTTTTAGGGTATTTTAGGGAAAACAAATGTGTTTGTAGATCATTTGTTTCTGAATAATTACGAAAGATTTACTTTACTTTATTTACGAAAGAATTACTTATCATACATAATCAATTCACTTAAATTTACCTTAATTGGTATTAAATTCACTGAAATTCACATTTTACACACACAATACTTGTTCAACTTAAAAACACCACAAACTTTGGTAAATGTTAAAAGTATAATATTATTTCAGTAATATAAATTTTAGAAATATAAAAATAAAAACATTGTTTGACAATTTAACATGACAAGTGTCAATAAATAATTATAACGTTCCGTTACAGCTTATAACTAGTCATTATTATTTTAATATTTGTTATATTTAATTTTGGACAAACAACAAGCTTGTTAATATGTTTACATTGCTGTACTAGGCAATATTATACTATATACAAATTCACAGAATTAAGTGTGTAATAGATTTTTTTTAATAATTAGCAGCGTAATACGGAATAATAATGTAGATCATGCGGAGAACGGCCTGTAAGTTCAAATCAGTACTTGAAAGTAGTTTCAACTGATAAAACTTAAAACGCGTTCTATAATAAGATCGACGCTTAAGCTTTGATCAGAAATAAAACCAATTTCAGATAATCAGAGTTCAACCGATACCTGAGACGCCTTTTAAAATACGGGCCCTAGACTCCGAACAACAATTTGTGGATCACACAAAGGTTTGCCCCGGCGAGTTGACAGCTATTACGTAATTAGTAGCTATTACGTAAGTGCGCGCGTATGTTTGTCGAGGCCGCGGCCGCGCGGGCAAGTTTAGTCATGCTCAAACATGTAAGCACTAACAGGAATTTGAGGAAGCGTGAGCTATTTGATTTAACCAATGAGCGGACGCAGTGGTAGTATAGACTACACTGATGGCGTAGTTAAATTACTAAGCCATCCGTGTAGTCTGGATTCGAGGTTCGACTGTGGTCGCAGCCTTTTTTTTTAACAGCCTGTGGCCATGTGTCTATTATTATGTAATTTACACTTACCTCTTTGTAGAAGTTCAACTCCTCATTGTAAAACAAATACTTAAAATGTTCGTCAGTGTAGACCTCTCTGATGGTCGCTACGAACGTCACATTTGCGCCGAGGACGGTGGGGCCACTATTTTGAAAGTACACATATCCCTGCGCTTGCCCTGTTATAACAATATATATTTATTAGTATCATAACTTCTTTATGAAAATAAATATAAATATACGTATATTTAGCTTATTTTTATGTATTTCTCGTTCTAATTCCGATTTAAATATAACATAAGTTATACCTATATTTTCTTAAGACAAAAATGAAACGCCTTATTTTCATTCCGAGAAATTATTATTCGTAGCTGATATATTTTGATAAGAAACCCTTTTGGACCCAAATGGCGCCAAAAACCGGTAATTTTAATATTTATGATTTTGATATAACTAATAATACGACGATAATTTGACTACTAATTCACAAGTTATATATATAACTGTCACAAAGAAAATAAAAGTATTAAAATAGTATCGAGATACCTATAAGAAAAGGCAAACAGCGTGTCAAAATACAATTTGTTTAAAACTAATTTGATATACATATTTAGAAAATTGTAAATAAATTTAAACTCACCAATATAACAGAACACTAAAATAAATATAGACTTCAGAATCATATTAAGATTTTCAATTCTTCTGCTTGTGTGTTTAGTACAACGTACACAGTGAGAATGTCCTGCATACAACAGTTCCTGGACCATTTATATATCCTTGTGGAGCCGTTATCACATCCCTAAGGCACGATAAAGAATTAATGATCGTATGGAAATACTAACTATATGTATTTTACCTGTATATAAATCTACGTAGGTATTGTATAGTATCGTATATTAAATACGTAAATTAATAAAAAATCTAAGGTCTAATAAAATTCAAGTATTTTCTTTTAAAAGGCAACTCTTGACCACCCATCCATAGACTGACCTAGCTATGATTGCTTAACTTTGCAATGTGTTAATTTACTCGGTTACCACTTAGAAACGAGCCTCTCCATATAATTATTTAACTGATTATGTTTTTTGTGACAATTCGCGCACTAGGAATGTATCCTGTGTCGCGGAGGTCTTTACAAACGGACACAAAGAACACCCAGACTCAGAACAACAATATGTGGATCACACAAAGTGTTGTCCCATGTGGAGATCGAACCCACAACACTCAACACAGTAGGGAGCAGCGATGTTTCGGCTTAAACCAGTACGCCATTCGTGCAGTTTTGCTGTATGACTGTCACTAATAAACATCGTGTTTGCATCTTCAGGCCAGCGTGATGACAGTATTATGCAGACTTTACCTGACAGATGAACGGCACTTGTAGAACGTCCAATAGTCTAACCTTTTTGAATACTTGCACCTATGACAATTAACCACTCTTATTTTGCAGTCCGTTTCCGTGTGGTGACGGATTAAGAATACAAATTGTCTTCATCCCGTGGGTGTCGTAAGAGCCGACTAAGGGAGCAAACTAAGCAGGACAACAGCACTGCAAAGAGAAGGAAAACTTGAAACAAACCCTATACCAACCCGTCTGGCCAGCGTGGTGTAGTAGGCCAAAACCTCCTTTCTAAGGAGTCCAGCAGTGGACTAGTATAGGCTGTTGATGATGATGATGATTTTGTAGTAATTTTGTATTGTAGATATGATTATTATCTCCAAAATGATAAAGAGTTTTATATATCAAGTGGCTATTGGCTTCTTATTGGTGGCATTTCCAAAAATCCTTTCTTAGTGGGTACTTACAACATAAAAAGCACCAGCTGCCAAAATGTTAAGTTTGTAGTTCCAGCGTTTTAGGTTCTGCGTTGATATAGCACCAGGGACTTCCTTTCTAGGGTATACCTGGTTCCCCGGCTATTAGTACCCGAGACGGCGTGCGGTTTTAGTAGGTGCGAGTCCGACATGCCACCGATAGGTGGTATCCGAGGAAAAAAAAAAGGTTTGCGTTGATGTATCGGTCAAGTTGTGTGGGCGTCAGGCGGACGGTTGGCCATATACTTGGGCGAGAATTGAGCCCGAAGAAATCTTTCTTAGCCGTTAGAATTACTCACCAATAGGGAGACGAACAGGTTCAGGAACAGGAACGAGGATTCTTTAGTGTCCAGTAAGTTAATAATAATAATATTGTACCACATTCACACAACGCCACCTAGTCCCAAACTAAGCAGAGCTTGTACTATGGGTACTAGACAACTGATATAAAGACATATATACTTTTTATTTGTAAATATATACATATTATACATAGAAACACCCAGACCAAATCAAACATTAAATGTTCATGCACATAAATGTTTGACTTGAGCGGAAATCGAACCCGCGACCTTTGGAATAGCAGTCCGTTACACAAACCAGTACGCCATCCGGTCGTCAAAGTTGAGTGAAACTTGTAAAATTTCGAATTAATCATACTTTATTAAACAAATCGGAAGTTCTCAAACCACCTCTAAGGATGAAAAATTAGGGAATGAAGAACACAGTGTATTCAATTTTATCACAACGTAAGCCCAATCAAGTCAGTGATACTATTTTATGGGTTATTATTTAAATAGCAGTCTAATTAAGAAACTCCTCGCTCTTCTTGTAAAGGGAACAAAGAAGCAGAAGGGTCGCCTTAAATTAAGTCACTGCAGCCGCCCGTAGACGCCTGTAACTCAAGAGACACCATGGCGTTATCGCCCTTGACTGCCCCCAAAAGTGAAGTATCTCTGGTAATCTCACGCTCGTTTTATGTGAGTCCGTGGATACCACGTACTCACACAAATTATAGCCAGTGTGTTAACACTGGCCATAAAATTTTCAATTTTTTTGACTTTGAAGTTTTTGACCAAAGAATTTAAATGATGTGTAGTATACAATTTTATCAATCATCATCAACAGCCTTTAATTTTCCACTGCAGGACATTGGCTTCTCCTCAGAACGGAGGCTTTGGTCTATTATACCAAGCAGACCAGACCGATTGGTGAAAAGTTTGTTGCAAGTATTTCTCCTCTTTGCAGTGTTGTTGTCCTTCGTAGTTTGCTTCCTTAGTTAGATCTTATCACACCCACGTTAGGAATAGGGGTGGTGACACTCCGAATTCTTAATCTGTCACCACACGAACACAAATTAAGTTGTACACAGTATACAAGTTAAGTGTTTTTAATTATGTTTGTTGGGATCTCCTTAAGAGTTATATCAAGAGTTCAATCCAATTAATTTGCATGGTATGGTATGCTTATCAAACTCAAATGCATGGTACGCTCAACAAACAAGATTATAATATATTTATATTAACACAATAGCGGTAAAAGAAAACCTAATTATTTCTAATCAATAAGTAGGTTCCATTGTTTAAACCTAATTAATTTATAACAATGGTATATATTTTGTTTGGACTATTTTCCTTGAAGTCACATACAGTAGTAGTATTAAAAACCAAATAACAATTCTAGGATATCTGCTTTCTTTTTGCTAGCTAGCACTACTAGCTATTGCCTGGCTATTTCTTATTTCGAGCTTCTAATTTTGACGATCTTCCAAACAACCTTTCATGCCTTATTTTACCCCTGATTTCCAAAAAGCCATTCTTAATACGTATTTATTCACTTAGGTGATATTTTTCTTTAAATTTTAATCGGACCAAATTTGCAACTGTACAACATGCAGTAACTGCCTCGGTGGCGCAGTGGTAGTTTATGCGACTGCTATGCTGAGGTCTCGGGTTCGATTCCCGAGTCGGACCAAATGTTTGTATGATCTGCAAATATTTGTTTCGGAGTTGGGTTGTTTTATGTGTATAATATGTATGTATTTACAAAAAAATAAGTATTTAAGTATTCTATCAGTCAATCTAGCTTTCATAGTACAAGCTTTGCTTAGTTTGAAACTAGATGGCGTTGTGTTAGATGTCCAAAATATTATTATATTATTATTACTGCTGTCAAAAATAGTTGAAAAGTGAAAACTAATTTCTCCAGGCCTGTTGGTCTAGTGTGCGTTGCCAAAGAGGAAAAAGTTCGAATTTCATTTAACAGATATTTAGTGTATGAGGTCGTTTATTCTGTAAGTTTGCCGAGTTATGAAATTAAAATAGTTTTGTCTGAGTCATTAAACGTTTATTTATTGTCTCTAAAACTCATTGACTATTTTCGTAGTCTAGTACAGTGTCAAATAATGATTTAAGCCAATAAAAAATTTACACAATGTTTTTCTTTTCATGTTTATTTCTCTATTCTTCTCTAATAAATTTTGGCGCTTTCTTTAAAACTAATCCTAATGCTACTGTAGCGCCCTCAATTTTAGGCATTTTGACGGACACATTTCATAAAGATGGCTCACCATAATGACACCAAAGCAAATTAAAACTATTTACTTACTCAGCAGGTGGCGTCAATTATATTCCACATTTTATTACTTCTATTATGAAAAATGGTGTCAGTTGAAAATTTTAATTAACTAGAGTAGTAGGCAGGCCCTGATAAACCCTCAGGCTAATAAGGCTGCAGCCTAGGGCGCCTGGAACGGAGGGGAGCTAAAATCGTGTCTTCGCTTGCACTAATCTAGCATCATTGCATCTACCCTACATATTTCAACTAGACCGAGACAAAACACTAAAACTAAATGCGCTTAAGAGTCCCTGATTTTAACAATACATTTTGACATTTTAAAAAGCGCGCGTTAAACAAACACAGACTTGTTACACGACTCGGTCGGAGGTCGAGCGAGTGGGTGAGCTGGCAACAGAGTACCTAGTGCGAGTTTTGTTTAATCCGCCTCGCAATAAGGGGCGTTTTAACTTAATTTGGTATTGGAACTTTGGGAGACGACTCTGTATCGATTGTATCGTATTCTATTCTTTATCGTTTAGGTTGCACTGTTTAAATTCCCATACAAAATAATCTTCACGTATACGCGCGTTTCACATTTTGTTAATTTTATTAGTTAATAGTTATAATAGTTAATGTTTGAGTCTCTATATAAATATTTGCATGCCTAGTACAGGCAGAATATAGTTTGAACATAATACACCTTGTAACAGTTATTTTTTTGTATATTTGTAATGCGTACGGCCTTGTTAAAAGCGACATCTATTGGCCGCGTTGCATTGTTGTTGATTTATCTAAAGTAGTTTATAACTACAGTACTGATCTTCTGCGTTCACTGTCGGACCACTAGATGGCGTTTTTGTTTGTGGATAAGTCAGTATTGATCTATCGTGACAAATTGTATAGGTATTGAGAGTGTTCTGCTATGGTAGGAAGGAGTTACTTTTGATCTTGGTCGGGTTAATCCTCGTCGGTAATTTAAATGTCAAAGTAAAATGTTGAAGAGGGGTTAATTTCTGGAAGCTTCTGGAAACAGAAGATATATAAGTCCGGCTTTCAGCCACGGGAGACACTGCTATCTCGTGCCTTCCGATCTTAAATAGTGTTTTGATTGCTGTGTGATTTGATTTTCGTAATATATTATCTGTTCAATAGTACCCACAAGAGTGGTGAGTATGGTCTTAATTTTCTTATGTACCTATTTGTTTCTGGAACCTGATTAATTATATGAGTGCTAATCCATTCGTAGGGTCCCAGATTTCGGGGTCAAGACGGTCAGTCTCAGACGGCGTGCTTGCTCGTTTGTGGCCTTCTGGTTCAGACTCAAGTTTCTCGGTACCCTCTGGCAAGCTGGTGATTGCGCGGCTCACGACGCAAGCGGACAGCCGTACCCAAGGGTTACGTACTTACTTATAAACTTATAAATGCAAATTGTTTAACTTTTATCAATATCTAATATAAATAGCCGACTCGGGCGGAAGAGGAAGTAACCTCCTGGAGTGAAGACGAGGAGGCACCGAGCACCATCAGCTCGGCTCTGACGCGCTCCGCTGCGGGTTTTCTTATACCCTCTGTTTTTTATTGTAACCTTAATTTTGTTTTTTTATTTTAATATACATGTATGTATGACTGAGGTATAAGTTGTTTTCCTCTAGTGAATCCCGTAGGTTTCCCACACGCACACACATCTGTTCTCTTAAAAAGGCACCCTGAGGTTATCTCATAAATCTCTCCACTGGGTCAGCCGGTGAGTAGTCCGCCTGAGAGGAAAAGCGGTTACAACCTTTGTAAAATCTGGTACCACCTGTATTCTGTGCAAATTAATGTTTCTTTCTTTCTTTCTGTGAGGCGAATTAAACAAAACTCGTAATAGGCACTCAGCGCAGCTTGCCGCGCGCAATGAAATACATCAACGATGTGCGGGGAATCTCCGGTATGTTTAATAGTTAGTATACTTTGCCTCGCTTCATTCATTTGTCTTATTTCTTTCGAAATCGTCGTTTGTCCAGTGTTGCCAACCGTACGATTTAAATCGTATTGTATCGTATCCCTTGGTACGATGGATGCTTTGGTACATTCGAAATCTTACATAAAACATTTAACCTTTTCAAATATTCGAATAAAATATTATCTATTATATATACGCTTTAGACACTTTGTGCATTCTCCATTCTAATGCACAAATTGAACGATTATTCAGTCACATAAATCTAATGAAAATAAACATTTGGAAAAAACAGTGATTGGAACTTTGTTTGCTGCACAACATATTATGGAAGCTGGATCATAACTGATTTCCAGCCATCTAGCGAGATGTTGCGCAAATTAAATTTAAGCAAGTATGTACAAGAGAATGAATTGTTTGGCTCCTTGTGTTGCGAGCATTGTTAACTGTGATAGTGACTAATATTCAAATTTATATCCATTCATGGCACTGTGTAATAACCTATGCATTTGGAACAGACTGTCATTGCCTTTGCATCAAATTTGAAAAAAATGTGGTAAGATTTGCAAACGCTAAAGCACGAAAAAGGACTTTTGTATAATCTTATAATAATTACTTCATGAGGGTTTTCGATATTTTTTCTGCCACCAGACGGCGTTTCGTATGCGTCAGGTCCAAACAGCTGTCAGATAGCACAGATTCTTACCGCACGTATAATATTTTAATGAAATTCTATGAATTTGGAAGTGTTATTGAGCTTATTATGGATTACGGCCAGAGAATGGTCGCCGAACTGAAGATTGAGCTCAAAAAGAGAGGAGCAAAAGTTTTATTTGCACACATAGGCACTGCACAGCACTGTGGCATTTTAGAAAACAATATTCCTTTTGTAACGTTTTTAAGAATGAATAAACCAAAAAAGTGATCGAAAAATACAAATCTTGTATGTGTTTTGACAGGTGGTTGGACCTGAAGCTACAGTGCTGCCATCTCACGTGGAACATTTCAGAAAACCCTCATTACTATCATTACACTTATTACACACCCCTCATTACACTTATCATACAAGTTGGTAAAACATTTTTGCCTTTTCTCAATTTTTTAACAACAGAAGTGTAAACATTTAAAAAATACTCAAGTCGAAGCAACTTCACACACTAGATGACCACGCTCATGGTCAATGGCAATGGAAACTAAGTTGTCTATAGAAACTAAGCCAATACAAGTCATGCGGCCAAACACGACATGGATTTGGATTTCTACTTGGCACCCTGCAGTCATTCCGTGTGGTGACAGATTAAGAATACATAATGTCACCACCCCTATTCATCCCGTGGGTGTCGTGAAAGTCGACTAAGGGAGAAAACTACGCAAGACAACAGCACTGCAGAGAAGGAAAACTTGAAACAAACCCTATACCAACCCGTCTGGCCAGCGTGGTATAGTAGGCCAAAACCTCATTTCAGAGGAGAGGCCTATGTCCAGCAGTGGATTGTCATAGGCTGTTGATGTGAATGCGTGAGGTACTTTGTCTTTATGTACGGTCAGATTTAAAAAATGATTTGCTACCTTAAGGTTAAATGTCATGCAGATTAAAGGACAACGTTAGTTTCGCTTGCAGATCAATCTGAAAACTTTTATAAGTAGTGTAAAGCATGTTAAAATTTTCACACTACTACTCCACTCATTTAGTACTTTTTAGGCCGTCCGGAACGCACCTGGCGGGGGCGCGTTCTCATAATTAGCCTAGGGCAGTCAGAACTCCTGGGCCTCAATTCTGCTATTTTATGTTTACGCCAAGCCACTGTCAGACCACTGACACGCTATTGAGATGCCATCGAGTGGCCATTGGCATCGGTATAAATATCGGTAGTTGAAAATATATTACGTTTTTTGAGGAAATGATTTATTTATTTTTATTATAATAAATTATTAAAAGAAATGGCCCTGATCAGTCGCTGGTAGTAAGACGATATCGCTGTAAATAACTTCCTAAAATAAACGTTACATCGAAAACTACAATAAAATATAACTATTTGCAACTCAACACATCTCTTTTGCCTTTACTGGCACTATTTGGGACAATCCTGGAACCATTAAAATTATTTTTGTCCTCATAAATTTCTTTTTTCTTCATGGTTTCAAGATGGACACTATTTTGGTTAACTGCAAGAGAGCATTCCTTACCTACTCTTCATGAACATAAATGAATTACAATAATAACTTTACACATCAAACACATGGCAGTATAATCCCAAACTAGGCATAGCGCCCATGCTTTGGTAGTGTAACCAGACTACCGATGAACATATTTAATTTCTAAACTACCTCGGTGGAGCAATGGTAGTGTATGCGACTGCTGTCCCGTGGTATCGGGTTCGATTCCCAGGTCAAACAATATGTTTGACCTGGGAATCGAATGTAAAATATGAATGTATTAACAAAAAAGTATGTAAGTATTCTATCAGTCAATCAAGCTTTCCTTAGTTTGAAACTAGATGGCGTTGTGTCAGATGTCCGAAAAAATATACCTTTCATAAATAAATTACACCCACACAGAACAATAGATAATACTCCTCACATAGGTAGTTTTTTTGTTGTAACTAACCATATATTAAATGTACACAAGAGAGAGCCTTGCAAGAGGTCTGAAAGACACACTTGTCAGACTTATTCTAAACTAGCTGACCCGCGCAACTTCGTCTGCGTCTCTCAATAGTACAAAATTTTCTCCGTTTTTGAAACATTCTTCATTGGTGCTCCGCTCCTATTGCTCTTAGCGTGATGATATAAAGCCTATAGCCTTCCTCGATAAATGGGCTATCTAACACTGAAAGAATTTTTCAAATCGGACTAGTAGTTCCTGAGATTAGCGCGTTCTAACAACAAACAAACTCTTTAGCTTTATAATATTAGTATAGATAAGTCAGATGAATAGGTTCACAATAGCATACACTTCAATCAGGTTGCACTGGTCATGGTCACAGACTGACTGAGCTTGGCCATCAGATTGCATTGGAGATAAAATAACTTTACATATCGATTATACATGGAATATGAAAGTTAGGCAATGCATAAAATATGATGAAATTACTAGGTAATCAATAAATACAAAACTTTCCTTAACTTAAATTATTTAATTTCCCACACATTTGTAGGGCACATAGAGGTACCACCATACAACACAACACAAGTTACTTTTTTTCACCCTTAAATTGTTGATATTATCGGTTCCTGTTATACACAGTTGTGAAAATATTTGGACCTTGACGCTGCTTGCTTGAAAATTCTTGTAAAAATTTCTTATTAATTACAATATTATCTAAAATTAAGGAATTTGTTAAGTTCTATATTCTATCCAATGACTCTAACATCACTATGCTGTTTCCTCGGATCACCTGAAAATGTATAAAAATTACCATAAATATATTTGTTGAAAAAAAAACAATCTAAACATAACTTCGTTGGTTGATATGGTATTATAGAGGACTGTATACCATATACAATGGCAACTATAGCTTAACTATACTACTGCATATTGTTTTTAAGTTACTTAGCAAAGCTGCTGTTTTTTTTGTTAAAAACACTTGATGAGTTGTAAAAACACTTGTAACAATGTTACAAGTGTTTTTAACAAAAAAATACAGAATATAGAAAAGGTTAATAATTATTGTGATGGAAAGTTCATCATCATCATCTCAGCTGAATGAAGTTGACATAAGCACGCCCCAAGGTTCACCGCAACAACCGATCCTATGCTGCTATCAACCAACAGCTTCCTGCGACCTTCACCATGGCTATCCGAACACCTTATGGGAGGCTACCCAAGCTCCTTCCTCTGGTATGTGGTATAGATTGTTATTTAGAAAAGTTTATGTCTCTTTCTGCAAACTCAGTGTCATTTGGATCTGACTTACATTCTCAATTATACCCATGGGTTTTCTCTACCCCAATTTACAATTATCTTTTTTCCTATAAAGATTATTGCTTTCCCTAGGTGTTGGACATAGGCCTCTCCTTAGAAAGGAGGTTTTGGCTTACTATGCCACACTGACCAGACAAGTTCGTATAGGTTTTGTTTCAAGTTTTCCTTATCTTTACAGTACTGTTTCCATTCTGTTAGCCAGTTCTTATTACACCCATGGGAAGAGGGATAGTGATACTTGTTTTCTTAATCTGTCACTACAGGGGTAACACAGTGTGTATCAATGCAAAGCCCTTCGCAATGATTCACATTGTGCAAATCTAAACAACAAGACAATTAGGATGATTAGGAATATTGTAAGATATTTTTAGGATACCTTAACTTAGTATAACTTATTTTGTTCATACTAGACCATGAAACTCATGCTGATACTATTGGTAAGGAACAAAAGATTTAGATAAGTGTAGAGAGCCCAGAAAATAATAGTCACATTAATATCAAGACTCAAATTCAAAATATCTTAATTTCATAAAAATGAAAATTATTTGTTTTTGTCTTTTATGTAAACTCTTAAGTCAGAGTCGGATCAACACACAGAATAGCAACAATCTCTGTTGTGTCCAATAGTTAGGAATATAAATTTAATAAAAATTATACTTTTACAAAATCTATGATATGCTTGTGGTGATCCACAACCGCTTGTTTCTAAGGGGTTGAGCCTTATGAGAAGAAAGGGCACACAAACTCATGACCATTATTTTGCAATTTACAAATAAATACAATGGCATTAAATATACCACAACAGTGTACTGATGTGTTCCAGTATGTCCGTTATTAAGGACTAAACGGTAAAAAGTAGACTTGCAACGAATATTCGGTTACTATTCGGTATTCGGCCTATTCGGCTGCTTTTATTATATTCGGCCGAATACCGAATATCTACATATTATTCGGCCGAATACTTAAATAATATATTTTTTCATTGAGAAATAATTGGTAAAATGAAAAATTAAAATCGATTGATTACGTATATATTAATATTTTCATTTCTGTTATAATCATTTAAGTAGTCATTGGTGCATAACACAGGTACATAATCATCTTCTGAATTGGAAAAATTTAGGATTCTATGTATTTTAATTATTGTGGTAATCAAAATTTAGAAGGGTAAGGTTCTCATTTCTTTTATAATCATTTATTAAGTAGTCATTGGTACATAAAACAGGTACATAATTTAATTCACGTCTGTACAAGTTTTTGGCGCTAAAATCCAGCCGAATACTTTTGCTTAATATTCGGCTATTCGGTCAGGGGCCTCGCTGAATATTCGGTATACTGCCGAATATACTATTCGTTGCAAGTCTAGTAAAAAGACAATATAGAGAAAAATAAAATTAGAAAAAAAATATAAAAATAAAAGAGAAAGTAAAGAGAAACATAAATAGAAAAAAAATATAATCTAGACTGACTGAATTGAAAATCAAAGCTAAGAATCTCTTGAACATGATATCTCCTACTTTACCGCATATTCTACACATATTTAATTACAGGGATATCAACGGTACTAGTACAGGGATATCAACTAGCTTTAGTAGATATGTTATAATGATCTAAAATAATCTAACCAACTAATACTTTTCACTAATTCAAAGGTATAATTGACTTTGGTGGATGGTACATCTCAAATAAAAGAAAATACCACATACCACCATGCCGATGCTATTCCTTTGGCCATCTTTACATTCTTCTACCGATTCGTCCAATACGAGATTCATAAATGGATCGAAACCACGAAGAACTCCTGTAACTGATCTACCGGCATTCAGTTTTATAGCCAGTTTCTTATCCATGAACCTGAAAACATTTTAAAACGCAATTAGGAGTGATGATGATGATGATTATGTTTTTCCATCATAACAAGAAATAAGAATGTCATGAAACAAATTTACGTTACCAAGTATTGTTGAAAAACACAATGGCAGCTAGGTTAGAAATGGCGTGCTTGAGACGCTATGCATAATTCTCCATAAAATTAATTTACAAAACTTACTTTTTTAATTCCGGAGGGTGAGCTTTCGACATTTTTCCTGTTTTTATTCCTTTTTTATTTTATTTTAAATTAAGTCCGGACGTAACTAGCTACAATTCCGGCAACTTGAACAAATTTTGTATTTGTACTTCGTACAAACGAGAATGTTGCCATAAGCAAGTTTAACAGAAATTTTTAAAGAAATCTACCAAATATGGTGGTGCATAAAATAAAAAACATCGTTATGGCTAAAACAAATGGAGTAAATTTCTTTTAATTCGAAATATGAAACCTAATTTTTGTATCATACATGTTTCTTTTTTTATGGAAGAGGGTGGCAGACGAGCAAACGGGTCACCTGATGGAAAGTGACTGCCGCGACCCATGAACGCCTGAAACTCAGTAGTCACAAATGCGTTAAAAGCCTTTTAGGAAGGAGTACGCTCTTTTATTGTGAGTTTCAAGGTCGTATTGGTCCGCCAATACCGTAGACGATAACATGTTCCTCAGATTGGAAAGCTTACAGTGGTGGAGCGCCAATCATCCAGGTAACGGGGATAAATATTTTACCATTTGGAAGATAGCGGCAAGTTGCTACTGGTCTGAACAGTTAATCGGAGCACTCTCCATGGTATATACGATAGATAATTCAGAGAGAAGCTAAGTCTCTACGTAACGCCAAGGAATCGAGACGAGCGGAGATCTTTGGTCGTTTGGCTGTTGATCGTTCATTACTATCAACGTATAACATAGCTAAAAATCTATTCATTTTTGTGAGGGTTTTACAAGATGAGACATTTTATTCATAAAAACATTACTTCTGTCCCCCTCTCTAAGCCTCTACTCAGAAAAGAGGTTTTGGCCTACGAAAAGAAAATTGATGGTGAAACTGATTTTTATCTGGTAATAACAAATAAAAAAAAAAGGTAAATGAAGTAGTGACAATGAGTCTGATATCTTTAAAATTTTATGATCTTGGAAGTGCACATTCATAATTTGAAGACACTACGCCATCCGTGCAGTCCATTGGTGTGATAATTAAATTCTCCATTCTGTATTATGATAAAAAAAAATAGTAAGGAAAAAGTCCAGTAGTATTCTGACAGTGCAACAAAAAGTTTTCAGTGTGATTAAGTTATTTACATTTGAAATATCCTTTATGTTATTTTGCATTAAACTAAGTGAGAACTTACACTAAGGAACATGGCACATATTTGAGGTTCAGTAAGTTAAGTGATTTAATTTTTTGTAGTTTGACGTAATTAACAATGTTGGTCTTTTCGTGGGAGAGATTATACAATTATTGTCTCATCTAATTTATTAAAATAAAAACCAACTTACCATATATATATATATTTTTTTTTTTTTTAAATTAGTGTATTGTCATCGGTCATCGATATATCTACAAAGTTTGAACGAATTCTGATCGTTTAAAACAAATAAAACAAACAAACATACAAACATACAAGTGAAGCTAATATAAAGCGTGTAAAAGGTTATTTATTAATATTAATGTTACCCGCATTAAAGTGGTAGAAAAATAATCAGTTTTAGTAGATTCATTTTGAAGTGCTTTCAGATGCGAAACTATAGTATTCTTTTCTGCTATTTTTTGTATTTTACAATTATTTTAAAATAATTTATTAGGTTTTTGTATAAGTCCGCCGAGATGGAATATCTTTATTACAATCTATCACTTTACGTTAAACGAGCAGCCATTGAAGAATATTCGATATTTGCAAATTTTTTAAACAAGTTAATTTAATCATTTTAAATTCGCAAAGTCCTGATTCATGTGTGCACATACTATTCTTACAAATGTCTTACAATTCTTTGTCTTATTAACGTCTTACAAGAATCTTATCCATTTTGTTAATTAACATCTCATTGCCACTACAAAAATATTTTATCACGTGTTACCCAATGTATTGAAGAAACACATTATGTTCACATTTTGTCTAGGTCCATCAGACTACTTTATTTTGGTAGTATTATAGTCATTCCTTTTATCATACGTCAAAATATGTACTAACCAATAATACAATAGCAACAAGTAGACAGCTGGGAGGATGGCTGTTGTTGTGATTTACATCTCATCCCATAATATATAGCAACGTTTGGTTTTGAATATGAAATTTGGAATTTCATCGTAACGACCGTTTAAAGTGAAAAGTTTGTGTTTGTGCGTTTCGTTTTAAAATGGATGAATCTGGGATCGACATGGGGTTCGATCTTGCATCGCTCCTGTCGAGAGATTTTAGTGTCGACCAGAAGATTTTGGAGGAGATGACTGCTGGTCAACAACAACAGGACTTTATGTTCTACGAGCTAAAGTCAAAAGCCGTGCCGATCACCGAAAGGTAAGTGTTGGGTTTTATGAATATTATCCTAGATGCGGTACGGTGAACGTCTATAATGCGAATATTTTTAGCATAATAAGAGGAACAATTTCACCGTACTCCGAACGTCCGCGACCCTGAAACCTGGACTTGGCAAAGGCCCCAGTTTTACTTCTTGTTTATCTTTGGTCTACACAATTTTGCAAACATCGGTCTTATACTGTTCGTTGTATGTGAAAATTACGCTTTCTAAAGCAATAACATCACGTGAGATTTAGCTAAAAAACTTGAGCAAAATATTTAATTTTTCTGATTTTCCCGCCCTTTGTACGAGGTCTTGTCTCTTTTTATTGTCTATATTCTTTTTTATTAAAAAATATTAGTATAGAAGGAAGTGTAAACACTGAGGTATTAGAAATACTTTCAAAAGTGACCTCATTTGCGAATCATCGCGCGTCAAATCTTGTCAAACCAATACTTATTAAGTTAAAAACACGTGACAGAACGCTTTTAGACGATTGTTGTTTAATTATTCCGTAACCACAGATCTTCAAAATAAAATGTGATATGGCTTTCATTACAATCTTCTTTCATGCAACAAATAGAGCGGGCTGGTATCAACGTTCCTAGTTTGAATTAGTCTAAAGAAAAACATAGTTGGTGTACAGCGTTTTCGATATACAAAAAATGTTCTTTCTCGAAACGATTTTTTTTAATGTACATATGGCAAAAAGCCTAGTATAAGTATGCAATCTTTTTATCATTGACCTATGGCCTTTCTACCCGAAAATGATCTGACGCTTTTTTAAATTATATTTTAAATTATGGAGACCCGTTTTGAATATTAGTTTTAGTTACTAAATTATTTTACAACTGCCATTGCAATCTTATTAAAGTGCTATTTTTTTATTTTATTTGCTTTTTTTTTTTTATTTATTTATTTTTTTTTTTTTAAGAATTATTTCTTATAATAAATAAGTAGATGGTATAACACTATTGCATTGGGCTAAGCCTGTAAAAATAGTTGTTTTTAAAGAAAATAAATAAATAAATAAATAAATAAATAAATATTGCCTTCCGTAATATTAAAATTCTGAGGTAGGTAACCTATCTTCGTTATTAGGTTAGAAAAATGAAAAAATAGTGTTTCAAAAAAGTTACTGTTTTAAAACCCTATCTGTCTGTTATCGGAATAAAAAATCGATGTTTAATATCGTGACTTTTTTTTAAAAGTCCATACCTAAGCTGTGCGTGTTCGATGTCCGTATTGGTCTATATTTTGTTAGGTAAGGATAACTAGACCGTGTTGTGTACAATCCAATGCACAAACTGGCTAAAAATTGAGTACTGAAGTAAAACGCAGAGTGGGAAGGCCACAAGCTAGTCCGTCGACCTGGTGGTGAGGATCGCGGGAAGCCGTTGGATGCGGGCAGCTCAGGCCGGTTGTTGGGGCAAAACTTTGGATTGAGGCCTATGTCCAGAAGTGACGTCTTTCCGCTAACATGGTGATAATATTTTAAGAAAAAAAAAATTAACAAAAATATATCTTGCATATCGCATACCCGTTAAATACAGCTAGCTGAATATGCAATAAAATTATTACCTAAACTTCGGACAGTAATACAATCAAAACAGTAATAATATAATATTTAATTGTTCAACAAAGACATTACAGTATTTACGAAGAACAATCCTTCCAAAAGATAAAAATCACTAAAATCTACAAGCACGATTGAAACGGCTACGAAGGATAAACGCTTAGAATAAAAACTATTCTAAGGATAAACGTATGTATTTTGGGGATGCCTGAGTACTAGGAATGGGATAAAATCACAATCGTATGTGATAAATGATATGATTTAATAGTCATATCATCACACCTGTGACTGATTTACTAATAATATTTTTTTTAATGATCTACTGCGACTTAATTAATATTATTACGCTAGCGCAAGACTCGCAAAAGTTCTAAATCTAAAAAGGTCGTAATCTTCTATAAATTTTTTTTTAATGGTTTTAATGTCATTTGTCTTTGGCTATGACGAAATCACAATCACATGTGAAGTCACGGTGACTAGAACAAATCATTTCATCAAACGAATATGATTTAAAAGTAGCAATAATTTCCATGTCTACTAAGTACTTTCGGACTCGACTGGTGACGTTTACCAAGGGATGACGCGACCTTTCGCCTCGGCCTGTACGAAAAATAAATCTGCCAAATTTAATGTAGAATTACCGTTTTCAGAACTGATCTCAAAAAATTCTCTCAGTAAAGAAATCATTGAACTTTTCTTTTTATGCGTGTTTTTAAAACAATGTGAAGCGCTGTTTACCTCAGTTAAATAGATTTTGTTATCTCCTATTACTTTATTTGTAATTGGAGACGCAAATACGTTTATTTATCTGTGACGGAAGAAGGTGTCTGCAGTGTAACGTAAACAAAACGTTGTTTTTAGATTTAACATTATTTAGCGTTTTAATTTGAAATATAAACAATAATATCATTAAATTGATAATGGAGGACAATTCAGACTGTACTTTAAGATGTAAATTTAATGATTTAGGATAAATAATTTACTTCCAATCTGCTGCAGGAATCAGCCCTATTGTCGCCTGCGATATTTAACGATTACTATGTGCGTATTCCCACGTTAAAAGCCAGCAACGCAGTTAAAACTCAAGTTAGTGGTGTTCATGGATGTCCGTTGTCACTTACCATCAGCCCGCCTGCTCGTTTGCCACCTATATAAAAAAAGTATATCAACGTTTTAAGATTCATACAGTTTTATGCTTAATTTAAAGTTGTATATATGTATGTAATTAATTACGGCCAATTTATTATCAACGAAGTCTCAAACGCCAAAATCTATAAAGCCGTTTAGTCTACAGAGCGTACCACATACATACATAAACATACACACATAGTACCGAAATATACATACATACACTCGATTAAATATGAACTATTAGTTTATTGCTTGCAACAGTGCCAAAATATTGAAAACTAGTTCTCGAACATTAACATCTTAAATATCCCATTTATAATCTACTAGCGATCCGCCCCAGCTTCGCACGGCTGCAGTATCTACTGTAGAAATAGTAATAATGTGGTGTCAGTGTGAAGTATTTCATTATAATATTATTTTGATAAAACTATACTAAAGGACCTTTATATACAATATTTATAAGCAACGCTATGCTCCTCCGGCCGATACCACCTTTTTTTACTTTTTCTATGCGGAAATCCCCTCGGATATCACCCACCTGTGGTTATGTCAGACTTGAACCAACCAAAAACCGGGCCGGACTTACGCCGTACGGCCGGCCGGTTTTGCCGCTTTGCCCCACCATTAATAATAAGAAATAAGTATCTAAATACGAGCTAAGCTGCGGCGGAAACAGAGGTATACGTAAACCGTCCAACCAAACTAAAACTGACAATACTTTTCGTGCATAAAAATATTTTGACTTTGCTGGAATCGATTTATAATATAAATACATATATAAATATATATTTTTGTAATAATAACCTCACACATCACGCACACGGCTGTCTGATTCCAAACTAGGTAACCAGACCGCTGATAAACATTCTTATATATTTCTAAATACATACATATTATAGATAAATTACACCCAGACATAGAACAAACGATCGTGCTCATCACACAAATATTTGTCCTGGGTGGGAATCGAACCCACGACCTCCGGTTTAGCAGTCAGGATCACCAACTACTAGACCAACAGGCCCGCCGACCTCACAGAAAACAGTATTAAGCAATTTTTCGCTGCTTTTCACCGTGTGAGTGTGGTTACCAGAGCGTCTTCCCCTGATTGATGACTCAGAGGATGGCAACGCACTTGTGGCTTTAGAGTTGCAGGTTTCAATGGAAGGTGGTAGTTACTCACCTTGTCCTCCTATACCAAAAAAAATCCCTGAAGTGGTAGTCAATTCTCTACCGATCGTCACATGATCGAATAGGTATTACAAAAACAAACCAACGCCTTGAACATTATTGCTTCTAGGTTGACCTCGGCGCAAAAATTCTTATTTTAATCACGTCATGTGATTAAACTAGCCCCGTTTCTTTAACTGTAATTTACCAGTTTAGTAAGGGCCTCTTGCCGTAGAATAGTTGTATCGTACGTACGAGATCATCATCATCAACAGCCGTTAATGGTCCACTGCTGTACTAAGGCCTCTTCTTAGAAACGAGGTTTTGGCTTACTATACCACGCTGGCCAAACGGGTTGGTATAGAGTTTGTGTCAAGTTTTCCTTCTCGTTGCAATGCTGTGGTCTTATGTAGTTTGCTCTCTTAGTCGATTCTTACGACACTTAGGGTAACATTCCGTATTCTTAATGCGTTCTACACGGACTACGAACCTCCAATGAAATTGGAAGAAAAGATTTTTCTTGGAGGATTTTTCTTCAAGAGGATGATGATTTTAACTTTTCAATACTTAGCAACACCTGTCTAACCATACCACAGGTTATTGTCCATAGCTAAATATCGTTATTTCGTATTTAGATAAAAATACGGTTCCATATGTATGTTTCATTAGAAGAGTGACCGATAGGGACTTCATTTATATTTGTGGTTACCTGTTATCGTAACTAAAGTATTACATAGTGATTAAGTATTGTTATGTTTTATTTAAATCAGTCATTAGTAACTTAATTAGGGGTTAATTTTGTGAATAATGCAGACGTGCGCACGATGACATGCATATTTTATTGAAATTTCAATGCGCCTGTGTGCTTTGGTTGAAGTCTGCCGTCACAATCATCAATGATTCTCTTTTATCTGGAAACTATTACGATAATGTGTTGTGTGTGATAGGGTACGATGGGGTTGGCGTATTGTTGTGGAAAAAATCACTTGCGTAGTTGACATAGGAAAGTCATATGATACCCTATCAAACGCATTTGTGGTGGATTTTGCAGGAATAAAGCCTGCCAGAATTTGCCTGCTCAGCATGCGGAATTGATTCGTGCTATTTACAGAGAGTGTAGCACTCTTAGGTAGATCGCAAACACAGAACAGTTCAGTGTTTCTGTAGGCTTACACCAGGAATGCATTGTTCAGGTAGATAATGGATGCTCTGACATAACATGACTGTTGGCCAACGTAGGAA